TGGACCCCACATGAACTACAGAAGTCCTTCCTCCATAAAGCTCAAACCCTTAGTGTCTTCTCCCTGTTTCTCTGATCATACAGAAGGCTGTTCCCAGCACTTTAATATTCTTCAATGAATCACAACAGCTGCACCTGGAAAACTCCATCACCATGAAGCAGCCATCTCACCTGGACGTTGCCATGGGCCCTCGTAATGATGTCAATGCTCTCACCACTCTGCTTATATTCCAGGATGCAGGCATTGTACTTAGCTGTCAAGATAAACAGCAGGTCCTTGCTCTCCCCCTGGAAATCAACAGTATGCTATCAAAAGAGGTTCTTTTTAAAATAGGAACAACCAGCCAGATTCGGTGGCTCAGCCTGTAATCCTGCACCTTTGGGAAGCTGAGGCGAGTGGACTGCCTGAGCCCGCGGGTTCGAGACCCACCTGAGCAGGCGAGACCTCACCTCTACAATAAATCAAAATATTAGCCGGGTGTGGTAGCATGCGGCTGTAGTTCCAGCTACTTGGAAGGCTGAGGCGGAAGGATCGCCGGAGCTCAGCGGGTCGAGGCTGCGGTGGCCAGAAGCGGCCACTGCACTCCAGTCTGGGCGACAGAGTGAGATTCCAACTCAAAAATAAAAAATAAAATAGGAACAACCTGTCCAGTCTTTAACTGTCATTCTTTAAGTATGCCAGATTATCTGAGACTTTTTCCAAATTCTTCTTTCCCTAAAGAGAAAATGCATGCAGAGTTCAAATCCATACCAGGTGCACATACCTCCTAAAGGTATGGAAAAAAAGCCAGAAGTGAAGCTGGTAAACATCTAGCCTCACTTTCCTGACTCTCCATCTCTCTGTTCTATGTACAATGTCTTCATCTATTTCAGTCCCAAGCTAATCTCAATTACTCCACTCAAATTCTAAAAGATGAAATGTAAGGTCTCCTCCACTCCTCTCCAAGTATTTGGAGGAAGAGAAAAAACATGTGAGAATAACATTGGAAGCTAAAATGGATCTACAAAGTCTTACTTATTTAGCACAGACCTAAAAAAAAAAAAAATGACTGTTGTGTTCAAAAGGTAAAAATGAAAACTTCTGAACCCACTGCTTTCCTGTGTTTTTTCTTCTTTTTTTGAGTCAGAGTCTCATTCCGTCACCCAGGCTGGAGTGCAGTGGCACACTCATGGCCACCCCAGAGGTGACCTGCTGGACTCAAGCAATCCTTCCATCTCAGCCTTCCAAGTAGCCAGAATTACAGGTGCATACAACCACGCCTGGCTAATTTCTTGATATACTGTAGAGATGCGGTCTCACCAAGTTGCCCAGGCTCGTCTTGAACCAGAGAGCCTAGGCAATCCTCTTGTCTTGGCCTCCCAAAGTGCTAGGATTACAGGCTTGGCCTGAACCCACTGCTTTCTTGTCAGATTCATTTAAAACATAATAAAGCAATGTGGTGGTGATTTGGGTGAAAACACTTAAATTAAAATGACAATAATGATAATGATAATTGTTAACATAACATTAAATGCTTGCTATGTTGCTGGGCCCTGTGTTACTGAACCACTGAATCTTCACAATAGTCCCCGGGGACTAGATTCTGTTATCTCCCCCTTGTAGATGGAGAAACCAAGATTCTAAAAGGTGCCTTAAATGACAACTAAAGTGACACCCAAAGTCAGAATTCATGAGGAGTGAAAAGACAGGATCACCCACTCTGTAGCCTACCCTCAGAATCACCAAGCAACATGGTGATCCACATTTCAAATTGTTTTAATCACCCCTTCCTAAAGAATAAAGAAGTCAACTTCATGTCAGAACTAGGCATGGAGAAAAAAAGAAGTAAACTTCATAAATGTTTCCCTAATGAGTACACATTGAAATCTGCCACTCAAAGAGAGAAGGGTTTCTCTCCTAAGCCATATTCCTTCCACTCATCCCAAGCAATCATAAAACGACATTAAATAGCCAGGCACAGGGGTGCACATCTGTAATCTTAGCTACTTGGGAGGCTGAGGCAGGAGGATTGCTTAACTCAGGAATTTGAGACCACCCTGGGCAAACATAGGAGATCCTGTCTCAAATAAAATAAACAAAACAACACAGAATAACCTATACCCAACAAACAGTTTTGCCTCCACTGCTCATCCCAATGCTTGGAGCACTTACCTTGGGTCTGAAGAGCTCCATGACCGCAATCTTCCCATACATGCCCACCTCCTTGACTGGCCGGAGCCCCTCAGCTGTGACCACATAAATCTCTAATCTTGTGTTTTTGGCAATCAACAGGTTCAAGTCTTCAGCTGAAGTAAAGTGTCCTGAAAGAACAGATTCCCCTAAGTTTTCAAGCCTATACTTATAAATGATAATCCTATCATTTATGCCTAAATGCCTCCAGAATCCTCATCGACTTCACGAATTCCTCCAACTCTTTTGCCAAATCCAGCACCTTGAAGAGTTCCACTTCATACGCTCCACAACTTCCCTAGTCAGACTAAGAAAAAGGGACAGGACCTAAGAGCCAAGAGTGTCCTTCAACTGACAATGACTGTGTGAACCCTTCCATGGCGCTGGCCTCGAATTTTACTTTGCTTATCACAATGGCAGACTCCCACAGAGAATGGTCCTCTCTTCTGTCCTCGTCTAAAGTCTCGCAAAATTTTGATCAAACTGACCAGGTCAAATGAAGAAAAGTCCTAGAGCTCTCCATGAAAACATTGTTTTGTCCACAGCTCTTGCCCACCTAGCAGCCTACCAATAGCCCCATTCACATTTCTCAGCCGCTTCCTACTCTCTGAACAACAGGATTTTGTTTCGGAATCATGATTACAATTGGCATAAACACACACGTTTGTGGTCTGCGTATTCAGCTGAGAATGTGGGTCCGGGATGATTATTCTCGGGTTCTAGACATCGGTGTCCTTAAACAATCCTTGCACGCACTCAGCCAGGCAAACCTAGCACTAGGCAGGGCAACGAAGCCCTCTTCTCCAGCAGCGTTCCATTGTAAACAACAGCCCCAGGCAAAGCGGTGAGCTCGGGGCGGTTGCTTTTCCTCTGGGGGGGAAGTGTGCTCATTCCTCTCGTCCCTGTGCCTCCCGGGCCCCCCAGAAGTCCCTACATGGAAATGCTAACCCAGAAATCGCCATTATGCCGCCCCTTGTCCCGGCCACACGAGACCGATCTGCGGGCCCAAACCACGTCGCACTATCAGCTCACACTCCGCTCTCTGTTCCCCTGGGTCCGGCCTGTCCTGGAGGCCAAGTGACCTCCCAGGACGGAAGAGGACCCTCAAGAGTAGCTTCCTCTGATGCCACCAAAACGCGCGTGGCGAGACGGCTCCCTTCGGGTGGTGGGGCCGGAGCAGGTTCCGCGGCCGTCAGCGCCTTGCCTCCCCGGGCCCTGGAGCTTCCCGGCCAGCCCCGAGGCCACGGCCTCCCTAGGCCGCGGCGCCCCCAGCGCCCTCCCTCGCCGGGGTCCCCGCCCGGGCGGGCAGCCTCACCGGTCACGCAGCCGTTCACGGCGGGGGGCTTCTGCGCCGTCACCACGTAGTTGTACGACATGTCGCGGCCTGGGGCGGCCCGTCGGGATCCGAGCGCAACCCTGGAGAAACGGACAGGAGCGACAAGACAGGCGGCCCCGGCCCGCGCGCAGCTAACTCCACCGCCGCCGCCTCCGCCCCGGAGACACGTT